AGTATGAGTTACGGTAGAATCATAACTTAGTTCTGCATGTTGCATTGATGTATGTAATACATAACAAATGCATTTTATTTAGACTAAAATAGTTCCTGTTGGCGGTGATGTTTAACAATGTGTGTAATGTATTGATTGCATCATAATGTAGTGTAATAAACAAATGGGATATCGCAACAGTGAGTGATAGGATGGTTAGTATGTGTCTATGGATTTTTATGTTTAGTAGCAGTACATGTTTGTGTGGGTGCAAGGAAATTTGAGCTGTATGTAGTTAAAAAAAGACTGTTTTGTTTCAGTCTCATTTTTATTTTTCCATAGCCTTTTGTCATTTGTTTTTTTTATATTATTCTTATAATTCATGCTGTCACGTGTCGTTTTGGTAGTGGTTAGTTTACATTTTTGAAATTGAAATTAGAAAAGGCTATGAAGGAGTTAGTCGAAGTTTTCTCCTTTTCTTGTTTTTTTTTATTTCTTTTTATCTTTATATTTTATTCTATTTAGTATATTAGCATTATTTAGTTTTTTTTTTAATTTTCTCCTTTAACTAATTTTAAATACTTTTAGGCATTTATTATATTTTTACTTAAATATTATAGTTAACAAAAAAATTATTAAAAAAGAGAGAGATATATGCTTGTTAATAGATTCTATTGAATTACGATTTCGAAAGTTCAAATTCAATTTAATTTTTGAAAAAAAAAATCATTTGAACACATATATTTTGTTGACCAGCTTCTTATAGAGTGATTCCTACATGAATCTCATCTAGATGGGATTAACATAACACTAAATTCATTTGCTTTCGATTTCGGTTGGTCTTCGGTCCCGTGGCTTACTCTTGGACCTTCTTACAATGAGTTCGATTTATTTTCGACCTCGTGACTTACTCTTGGGTCTTCTTACAATGAGACCTTTTTAGTTACAGTTATTTGTTTATTGGGGTTGCTTTTAATAGCTTCATCATATCCTCATTCAACAAAATGTATTCTCATTCTCATGACGTGTAATAATTTTTCTCGCCTTCCTTTTTTTTGTTTTGATTGCGTTTAGTCAATTGTTAATTCAAGACAAGAGAAAAATTAACCCTTTTTTAAAAAGGACAAAAATAAGCTCGATCAAACGTCGAACAATTTTCACAAACTCAACATTTCACCTTCAATCTTTTTCAAACTTTCAACCATTTTGCCATCAAAATTGAAAATACTTAACCCTCAAACCATTTTTTAATCCATGATAATCAAATGCTTGATCCAACGTCAAGCTCATTTTCCCAAATCAAAATTCAAAAGCACTGAAGTCTTATTAAACACTTTTCAATAAAGATGGAAAAAGAATGGGGTGGATACCACGACCTCCAAAGGCTAGGATACAAGATGGATATTTCGCCCATCTGAGTTCTCCCCATCACTCAAAACTTTTTTAATTCTTTCACAACCCTTTTCTCAATAAAAAAACCTCAAAAACATCTAACAATATCAAAACCATTTTGCAAATAAGATGGAAAAGGAATGTGGTCGATACCACGAGCTCTAGAGGGTAGGATTCGAGATGGATATCTTGACCATCCAAGTTCTCGTCATCATTCAAAATACATCTAACTCATCTAACTCTTTTCTCGCTGTTGCGCGATTCTTAAACCCTTTTTCAAACAAAAGGTATTTTTTCTTGAGATGATGCAAAAACAATGTTTCGTCCACTTGAACGTGCGAGTAAGGTAGCGACGTTTCCCGCGAATGTTGATTTGTAATACATTCTGTCGTGATGTAAATGTTTCATTCTCCACTTGTTTTGGGTAGGAAACAATATTTTTTCATCGATTGAGACAAAATAGTTTTCGCTAAAATCGACCAACAAATAAGCATTTTCTACCCATAACTACGTAGCCTTGAGTTCTCCATCGCACCAGAATATACGTAGGAGTGAGATTCAAAGTATTGTCAGTCACCTTAATAAAAAAAATAAACTTTTTTCATATTATTTTCCCTTTTAATAACTCGGGAAGCCTAAAATTTCTAAGCTAACACTAACGCGCACAACTAACTAAACGGTTCTCGTTGAGTACAACGAACGTGAGGGTGTTAATGCCTTTTTCTTGCGTAATCGACTTTCGAACTCTAAATTGGTTGCGATGACCATAATCATTGTCATTCTTTTTGGGTTTTATCGATATTTTCCCTTTCCTTTTTAGGAATAAATAAAGTTCGGTGACAACTCTGTTAAGTTCATCCTGCGAGCGTGCGATTGCATTTCGCAATGTCGTGTTATCATTTTTCAATGTACGACTGATGGCGACTTTGCTGGGGACATCTCCCTAAGTGAGTCAAGCCTAGTTTAGTGTGTTGTGTGTTTATATTTATTTACTTGTATGGCTTTTATTTATCTTATTGATTTTATTATCTTTATATTGTTATATAATTAGTTGTATGATTCCATTATGTTGTAGTATTGGATTGATACTCTAATTGCAAGCCTTATGGGAAATACTATATACCCGAGTATTGAGTGAAAATATAAGATAGAAAGAGGGTTGAGTAGTACGTACTCCCAAGGTGAATATCTCGTAAGGTTCGGTACGAGAACCTCACTTATAGTAGATCCTTTTGAAAATGTTGTCGCCCGACAAGTATTTGCTGTAAGCTTCGATGTTTCAAAGAAGTCTGTGACTCTAAGGACCTTTTAGAACATTGAACACTTTGGCCAACTAGGAATGATGGTTGCATAATATAGATTACCTAGGTGAATACCTCGTAAGGATCGATACGAAAATTTAATTTGATCAATAATCATTTTATTCTAATGTTGACTCCTATTTTTGGACACGATAGAAAAATGAACAACATTTAACGTGTTAATCTGACAAAACCTCTTTTATACTTCTTTTTATCTTTTGTTCTTTTTGCTTTCTGGTTACATCTTCCAATCGTCTAAAAGAGTATTGAATCTGGAGAAATATGCGCTTATGAGGGGAATAAATCCTTAAGGAGGGTGATCTTACACGCCTCAAGTTTGTTTAACCGTTTATTAATATATAGGATTAGTATTTGTAATTACGAGAAAATTTGATCAAGTTGTGTTGGTGGCTAAGTTATACAATACTTTAATGTCCACATCTTGATGCATACAAGATCTGATTTTTGTGATCAAATTTCTTCCTATAATATTACTAGACTTCCTGGTATTAATGTCATTTTTCACTTGGTGAAAATCCACATTAATATCCATAGCTTTGAAGCCTAGTATTGTCGCAAGCCACAAACCTTCATAAACTCCCCAAAACTCTGCTATATAGACACTACAAATACCTATTTTTTTTCAAAAATCCTTCTAATCATTCTTCTTCATTTTCTTTTATTATTTCTCCGCAGCCCACGTTACCTTCACTATCTTTTGCTCTATCAGTGTTTAATTTGACCCAACCCACTCGAGGAGATTCTCACTCTATGTGTTTCAGAGTTATGTGTTGTTTCATAACGATACTCAATGCACTACGTGCATTTTTATATTCCTTCATCAAATTATTAATATATGTTGTCGAGAGTAGCCTAGTGAAACCTTTCTCGTAGATTTCCTAAAAATACTCTTTACTCTAAATATACTAAAAATTTATAAATGTTAAAGTGTAAAGTATTTTTAAATTTTATTTTGGGTAAGATGAATATTTTTTAATGTGATATAAACTAAGGAATTAATATTTTTATTTTATACAAACAAAAAAAACCTATTGTCTAAACTAAAATGAAAAAAAAATAAGATAATTAAATCTTGATTGTGCAACATTAAAGTAATTTCATAATTTGATTTGACTCAAAGATATTTAAAAAAATGTTAATTCACAACAAATATAAAATTGTGTATTTTATACGTACACCCAAAATTTTCATGGTAAGACTAAGATGAAAAATAATTCCGTAATAAAAACCAATGTAGAAATAAATTGAAAAAAATTATAATAATATTATATAAGTGAGTTATATAATATTACTGGCGGCAAATCGGCATGACCGTCTTCTTAAAGTCCGTTCCGCAAAAGCCTACCAAAAATATATGATAGAGCAAGATCACCAAAATTAAATATGCGGGGCTCAAAATTTATAATGGAGAAAGTTTGCGAACACTAAATCTTTTAGACTTAAAAATAAAAAAATTTATGCAAATACTCGCGCCTACAAAATTCCACATAGAAAATGGGACAAGACGAATATATTAGAGAGTAGTGATTAAACCCATGATCTACCCGCACTAAAGTGAGAATAAAACAAACATGTCAGAATAGATCAGACCCATTTTCCCACGTCTATATATCACTTACATATAAAAATAAAAATAAAGTTTAATGGATAAATTTGTCCATAGAAAAAGAAAGAAACACATGAAAATCAAAATTAATACAGTTGATGAAAAACATTCAAAAAATTAAAATTAAATATCTGGAGAACATTAAAATATAGGCTTATATCTTACAATCTTTATTCGCATTAAAATAGTAGTTTAGATAAATTTTAAAGATTTAATAGAATAATTGAGTTAACAAAAAAAATGAACTTAAAGTTTGAAATGCAAAAGGTAGTGACACAGTCTTGAAAAAGAATGTGAGTTTAAGTTTTCAACTCAAACTTGTCTTGGAGAATGAAAGCATATAGTTCAACCAATTAAACGAGGGATAAACTTGAAGGAATAAAGAATGGTATATAAAAAACATATGCATTAAGAATGATAATTTTAAAAGCAAAATAATAAAAACTTCATCCACAGACTAAAGAATGGTATATAAGATTGAACCTCCAAAAGAATGATATAAAACAACTTGGAGGTGTAATGCATTTATGGATGTTTAACTAACATTAACAATAATGGAACGCTTATTGTGTGAAAATGAAAAATCTAAGTTAGATTAGAAACTCAGCAGGTAACCTTGTGAAATCAGAATGTTTGTATGATAATCTATTACTTATATTGCTATGCTATCCTATGTGTTTCTCCTCATTTTCTTATCACTTTTAGCAACTACTTTGCGACGATCTCCTCAAAAACTCTGAAACCAGCTTCGAGAACGAAGAAGAACTGTCTTGTAGCAATTGAGATGGTTTATCATACTCCGCAATTGTCCCTGTATACATCAAAATAATAGTGTTTATCAGCTCCAAGCATACAAAATGGTGTGTTGTATTTGGTGAGAATTATGCATTCTTGTACCTTCATTAAGGACCAAAACCAAATCAGTGTCAATGACTGTAGGGATTCTATGTGCTACTGTAAGGACTGTGCATCCACTTGTTTCTTCTCTTATAGTCTTCTGAATTAAATTATCGGTTGCAGTGTCGATGGATGCAGTTGCTTCGTCTAGGACCAGGATTTTTCTTTTCTTCAGTAGCAGCCTAGCCAGGCAAACTAGTTGTCTCTGTCCAACGCTCCAATTTTCTCCGTTCTCGGCAACTGCACATGTGTTTGTGCAAATTAAAATGATAACGGTTTTATATCGAGAACGAAAAGCAAAATTTTGATCAGAACTGTGGAGTAGAAGCAGTATATGTATATACCTGGTGCATCAAGAAGTCTTGGATCTTGCTGTACTATTTCAGCAAGATGGCACTTTCTGAGAACCTGAAAAGAATAGTTTTTTTAATTGTTATTTTCGTGTGTGTCGAAATCGGATCAATAATGCATTTTGAAGAACGTATCATATTCTAATGCTAACCTCCCAAAGCTCTTGATCAGTATGCTGTTCCAAGGGATCCAAGTTAGTCCTTACGGTACCTAAAAACAAGGTCGGATCCTGAGGAATAATCCCAAGCTTAGATCTTAAATCTTGCAGACCAATCTTGGAAATATCTACACCATCAATAAGTATGCATCCTTCCAAAGGCTCCACAACTCGAAAGAGGGCTTGCACCAGAGTAGATTTTCCACTTCCCGTCCTGCCAACTATTCCGATTTTCTTCTGTCCAGGGAAGACGCAAGTGACGCCTTTGAGAACCATAGGAGCAGCAGGTTCATATTGTATATGAAGGTTATGGAATTCAATTTTTCCTTCCTTAGGCCACTCTGGCTCGGGCCTATTATCTTGAATAATTAACGGCGCTTCACTTGGTATATCAGAGAATTGTAATATTCTCTCTACGGATATCATTTTGTTCTCAACATTGCATAGGTTCCATATCACCCAAGCTTGAAGCACGTTTAAGTTCAAACCATAAGTCGCTACAAGACCTGCCATGCCTGAAAATTAGAGGAAACAATTTAATCAATTGACTCTCACATACATGTATGAAATTTGAAAAACTCTCGCGGCTTAAAAGGATGAACGCGGGAGAAAGGAACTTACTGGGACTGATGGCAGATCTCGGCAGATTAACCAAGATGATGAGAACAAAATAGAAGACCAAATTAAAGAGAAAATTTATTCTGACAGACAACCATTCCATGGTGGCATAGTTGTGAAAAGCTACCCGAGAATAATCGTCGATTAGAGCCATAGCCTTGGTCAAGAATATTTTCTCTTGATTGAAACAACGGATTGTGGCAGCACCAGAAATTGATTCTGAGAAGTGATGCAAGATTGGCGCCTTTCGAATTCCCACCATCCTGGCCAATTCTCTAGCTGTAGTGATGTAATAGGCCTGCCAAAAAAGTACATAAATGAGGTTTCATCATAACATCTTTTCTTTTCATGTATTGTAAAATCTTGACAGAAAAAAAATAAAACATGATGTAGTTTGTGTTTATTATAAGAAAAATGATAACTCGTACCTGATACCAGACGGAGATAGCAAGAACTACGAAAAAGAGAAGAATGACTTGCCATGCGGCTTGGGACATTAGGACAATGATACTCAACAACTGGATAAGCGCAAAGACAAGTCCAGCTAATCTGTAGGGTATGTCGGTATCTACTGTACTTTGATCCGTAGATGACTGAAACAATCACACAGAAAAATAAATGTAATTTGAATGAAACTGACAACAATAACTTTATCAGATAGAGAAACTAGTGAAACTTACCCTACTCAGTATCCGGCTAGAAGGTGTGGTATCAAAAAACGAAACAGGTGCCCTGAAAACCGATGTGATCATTCCATGAAAAAGGCGCTGAGCAGTCTCCACAGCGATTTTCGCCATTAAAACAGTCCTTCCCAATATGAAAATAGAGCTTCCACCGGACAGAAGAGCAAAAACTCCCATAAGCTGCGCATTATCAACTCTTCCCTTTTCTTCTGTAGCCCATGACATCCAATAATTGCTTGCCATCTGCATAACTTGAAAGAGAATTTGACAGAGAAGAATAACCGGAACAAGTGCTCCTCTATAAGCCAATGTGACAAAGGTTGAGTAAACACTCCATTTTACTCGACCAGTCATTGCTTCCTCTTCTCTGGTTCTCTTCCAATCCATCATAATCTCTTGAATATTTTCTTCGGCAATTTCAGTTCGATTTTTTTGGCAAGGTCTGCAGCTAGCAAAATCATCTTTCTGGCTCGGAATTTGGCTTACTGTTTCTTCATGAGCAGCCATTTGTTGGACAAATTCACTATTCGGACATGCGATGAGATCTCTATACTTTCCAAACTCCGCTATTTTTCCATCTTTCATTACCTAACAAAAAGTATATAAATCGTTGAGATGCGAGTTCAATCAAATAGGTTTAGAAATTTTCTACAGCAACACAAAATAGGCTCAGTATCACTTACCAAAATAAGATCAGCCGCTTCCAAGAATTCTAGTTGATGTGTAGCATAAACAACAGTTTTATCGTATAAAAGTTTCATAAGACATTCCTGCACAAAATTTTCACTTCTTGTTAAGTTCTTATAATGTAATGAAAGTGTAATTAGAAAATGCATGAAATAAGAAGAAAAAATAGTCATTGGCACTACTAACCTTAAACAAATGACTTCCGGTATGAGCATCAACAGCGCTAAAAGGATCGTCGAGGAAATAAACATCCGAGTCATTGTAAACAGCCCTTGCCAATTGAATTCGCTGTTTTTGTCCTCCGCTTAAATTTATTCCCCTCTCCTCCACCATGTTCAAATCTCCATCACTCCATAAGTTGATATCCTGGAGCAATGCACAACAATCTACAACATTGTCGTAAAAGTCCTTATTCATTTCCTTCCCAAACAAAATATTCTCTCTTATAGTTCCAGATTGAATCCATGGACTTTGCGGTACATAGCTTCTAGTCCCATAAACTTTAGTTGCTGCACCAGAAATCAACGAAATCTCGCCAAGCATACTACAAAGCAAGCTCGATTTTCCAGACCCTACCGGCCCGCAAACCGCTACCTTTTGACCTTTGTTTATAATTAATTTTTCCACAATATGAATTGTTGGTTTCTTGAGAATTTGATCATTTTCTTCCCATGCATATTCTCCCGGCTTTACTTCAACAGCAATCGTTGAAGTTTTGGAAGCATGCTTATTCGTGAACTGATTTTGATCCTCTTCCTGTATGAACTCCTGAATTCGATCAACCGAAACTTTTGTTTGAGTTATCATGGAAATAAGTTCAGGCAAATTGTAAATTGGTTCTTGCAATATACGAAACGTTGCCAGAGCCGATAGAACCGTCGCTGCAGTTAGTTCGGTTTTCACCAATATACAAGCACCGAAAGTGAAAACAGAAACAAAAGTCGGAGACGCCCAAAATAGAGTGGCTACCGCTGAGCACAAGTAGAGATATTTCTGTAACCAATTCCTCTCTATATCCCTAAGCTGGAAAAGTTTCTGCAGAAATGTAGATTCCCACGAATGCAACTTTAAAATTCTAATATTCTTCATAGTCTCCGAAGTCATTTTGATTCTCGAATCTTTAGCTTCCATTATCTTAGAGTGTAAACCTTCTTGCATATTGGCCAAAGGAGTGTTACAAACCATAACCAAAATGGTAACAGAAAGTGCGGCAATGGAAGGCGTGTAACCCAAATTTATGTATAAGATCACCAAAGCCAAAATAATCTGAACTGGAAGAAGCCAAACTCCATGAACATACCAACAAAAATCACCGATTCTTTCGACATCAACATTAATCAAGTTGATGACTTTACCATGTGTTGGTCCACCACATTTAATCATTAGTGACTTGCTATAGACTAAAGCCATAAGTGCTGCACGCACTTGAATTCCAATTCTTTGAGCACCAAAGTACCATTGTCTTTGACTCAGTGACTCAATAGTTTTTGAGAGGAAGAAAATAAAGGCAAGAATCATTCCATATTTGGTGCTTGAGTTATCATTATTAGACAACAGAAAATTCACAAAGTTTGATATCAATAATGGACCGATATAAGAGGCAATTGTATTAACACCTGAAAGTATACAAAAATTAAATGTAAGCACGGCTATGAAGCACAAACACAAACACGAATATCAGACACAACACTCAGACAGAGGTGTCGGTCCTATAGAGAAGCACAATATATAAATGACAATGGCTGAATAATTTACCTGCTAAAATAGCATTTAAGGCTAAGGATTTCCAAAAAGAAAGGAAAATAGCTTTTGTCAAAGAACCACCTTGAAGTTTCTGTTTCCTAATAGATTGTTCCAACATAGAAGAAGCAGTAGCAGCAGTTTCAGAGTGAGGTACAGAAGGAACATGAACATGTTCAAGTTTCTGAATCCGACCCATTTCAAAAATAGGATTCAGCCACCTAAAAGTAAGTTTGCTCCATAAACCAGCTTTTATAAAAGCCTCTTCATCTTCATCTTCATCCCCCAAACTAGAAGATTCAATCTCATTCTGAAGTAACCTTTGTTCTATCTCACTTTGTTCTCTTACACACACACTCGAAACTGCATTGAAACACAGAACTAACAACATAGGCAAAGAAACCGCATCAACTATGTTATCCTCCAACAACAAAATCTTCAAGTTGAAGGATTCATAACTTTTCACAAGTTTCAACGACAGTAAGATTGCATCAACAACAGTGACAAAAACCCACCAAAGAATAAGAACAAAAGGGAATCTTTTACTCTCTATAACCGGTTTCTTCATTGAATAGAACGAAACCAAAGTAGCTAAAACCCATGTTAAAGCCAAAGAAACAAAATCAAATCCTATGAATAATCCATTATTGGTGTAAGAGTACTTGTAGAAACCAAAAGCCACGTTCAAAATAGTAACAACAGCACTGAAAAGAACAGTGACATAAGTAAAAAACTTGGGTCTGTGTTTTAAATGTGAAAGATGGTTACTTTTGGTTTGTTTCAAACTATCAAACAAAACCCATATCAAAATAACATAAAAGAATGCTACATTGGTTGTTCCTAAGAAAATATCAAAAATCGCCATAGTTGGTTGAAGAGGTGAAGTTGAAGCGACTCAAGAATGTTTGTAACAAAATATAATGTTATATAGATTCATGGAACAAAGAATAAAAAGTGACAGTGACACAAGTATTAGGAGGACATATTTGAATGAAATAGCGAGTTAGCGGCGAGTGATGGACGCTAGCGTCGGAATTAATAGACACAAGGCTTCAAATATTTTTTCGGAATCTTTATATTTAGGACAAAGATAATTTGTGCCCAAAGGCAGGTGTTATGAAATTCATAAATAAAAAATTTGTATTGGAAAAAGTAATAAAAAAATTAATTATAAATTTTTGATAAAAATAATCTATAAGTTATGTTATTTGTCATTGATTTGTTTCTTAATAATTGATTTATCGTAATTGTTGAGGGTTGATCAAACCTCCTATAAGATTGATCTAATACGAAGACTCAATCTAAAGCACTGCACACTTAAGAAGACTCAATCTAAAGCACTGCACATTTAAGCTTACGAAACTATTCAAAGAAAACAAAATCATTAAAAAATAAAGTATTAAAGATTTTAGTTAAAAATCATTCAAACATATAAAATTTAAATTATTTTATGAAAAAAAATCATCAAAAAATAAATAAATAATTAAAATATATTTTTTATTTTTGAAAAATTGTCCAATAAATTATTAAAATATATTTTTCTTTCATAAAAATCGTCTTTTAAAGTTAAGGTTGCTTTATAAACATTACACATTTCATATTTAAGTATTTAGAAAAATGGGTTTTTTTTGTATTTTTAAAAAAAAAATTTATAAAAAAAATTTAAAATAAAATTTATATATTTTTTTTAATTAAAAGATTAATTCGGACATCATACAACATAGACATGTATTATTGAAGATTAAAACATAATTAAAATTGCAATTTTTTCAAAAATTATATTTCAAAAATAAATTTTATGAAAAATTATTAAAATAACTTAAAAATTAAGTAATTTTTTAAAATTTTAATATCTAACAAAATTTAATAAAATGATGAAATATTTAAAATATATTTTAAGAATCATTATTTAAACTTATTTTTTATTTAAAGTTTTTACAAAAAAAAAACTTACATTATAACACTATAAAAATTAATTAAAAATAAAATAAAATAAACGGACCAAATATTAGTACATTATAAAATCATTTGATTTTGTAAAAAAATGACAAAACAAAATGTCCCTACATCTTATGACAATACTATACTGGGACCAAAATTGAGCTGACAGTGACACGCATATTGTAAATTTTGTGTACAAATCCATCCAATATTAACATTCAATATTTAAGCTTGTGTAAATTTCTTTGTACATTAAATTTATTTCAATTAAATCACCCAACATTCGATTTGCAACTCAACTAAAGATGTTAATACAAACTTACTACGTATTGTTTCTATATGTGACAAATTAAAACCATTTTGATTCATATTAAGTAAAACATTCAAATTTTAACCAAAAAGGAAGTCATGAATGAGACTTGAAGTAGATACAATCACGAGTTTTTTTTTTTTTTTTTGCTGCAGTGTCCCATTTTTAAAATTTAAATATTAAACTATCTTATTTTTAAAAAAAATCAAATATTCTTATTTTAGTACGTGTTCGACTATTAAAATGGTGAGCAGATAAAAATATTTTGTGACGAATAGTATTTAATTATTTTTTTTAATTTTCAGATTATTTTATTGTTTAAATAGTTTTAATAAAAAATTTAATTATTAAAAATATATTTTATTAATTTAATAATATTCTCCTCATTAAAAATACATTTTTATTGAATATTATAATTAATTTATTTAAAAAATCTTATTTATTCATTAAAAATTATTATATTTTAAATAAAATTTAAACTATGATTAATATTTTCTACAATAAATTTAAACGAACAAAATATTTTTTTATTGATTATTAACAAATAATTTACATATCATCAATAATGACCGTCTGTTTCACACCTAATGCTATTTTTTGTTCATTTTCCTTTGCACAACTATGCAGTTGTATTTCTTGGAGGTGATGGAGATGAATCGGAAGATAAATCTTGATCATGATGTGTTGTAGGGGGTCTGCTTGCGTCAAGGGGGGGGGGGGGGGGCGCTAGAAGGTCTTGAATGTTAATATTAGGCATTTCCATTAGTTGTTTCTCGGTGAGAAAAAAATGTTGGAATGAATGCGATGGTTGTGTGTAAGTATCAAGTTGGGTATGTTGAATGGGTAGGTAATAGACATCATCAGTCATGAAGGCAGAGGTGGACTGAGAGAACGAAGTGTTAAAAGGTTTGTTGTTGAGATTGGGGTTTGATTGATCGAAGTTTGGCGGAGGAACTGAAGTGAACTGTAAGGGTGGTGGATGGGTGGATTGGTGTTGATATTGTTGGTTGTAGTTTTGTTGAGGGAGTGGAGTGTGGGGAGTTTGGTGTTGGGATGAGGTTGCATAGAAGGTGTGTTGTTGGGTGGTTTGTGTGATGGTATGTTTGTTGAGCGAATGAAGATGTTTGTCCCCCAAATTGGGATGTGTACATTGGTGGCACATCCTGATGTATTGGTGCGCCAGTTGGTTGCGTTGAAAAGGATGCATGTCTACGAGAGTCGTTCAAAAATTGGTAGGGAGCAATATGCACATAAGGAATTGCATGAAACCAACTCAAATACTCTCGACTTGGCTTACGTTCACCAACTACCGTGTCCCCCTGCAAAACCAAATGTCTTATCTGTTTCCATTCTTTCACCTCATCTTTGTTTAATTCTTGCCAATGAACTTTTTGGGCTTGTTTCATCGTTATTTCGTGGTGCTCCCTTAGACACCTTGGTTGGAAAGAGATTTGTTGTTCAAACTCGAACTGAAGTTTGACCCTATTTGTCTGATGCATTTTCACAGTAAAGAAATAAATAAGATAAGTCGTCGCACTCCAGATTCGGCTATCTCTATGATCGGGCACCAGGAATTGAAGGTACGACCTCCATATAAACTGCCACACAAAAAATAAATTTTAGAATACAAGTTAGAAGTCTAGAAAACATGTAGGTTGTATGGTTTCAAACTCACATTTTTTCTGCCATGTGGCATAGTGCGTTTCGATACCCACGTAGATAAAAACGAGGATTACTTTCGTAATTCATACCTCGTTGACATCATCTTGCAGACACAAAAAAGATGTATTAATGTTAGGTATAGTTGAATAAGATGATAATAAAGTGCATTTATATATTAGGAATACCTTTGAGCGTATGAAAATGACGACATCAATGTAGTAACAGGAGCAAACAAGGATATACGTGTGAATGCCTAAATAGTGAGTAGTACAACACAACCACCCATGCTCCTGACATCTTTGAAGGCGGTCTTGCATATATTTCTGTACAATATTGCCAAATAAGCAGAACCCCAACTATATGTGTTACATTTTTTTTAAATCCCCACGAAAGGAATCTAAGAAGCATGAAACAAATTGTGACTCTTGTATGGGAACAACATAGTAGCAATGACAAGTAAAATATATAGTTTGGCTTGTAAAATATTATCTTCCTGGGTTAGGGAAGATTTATTTTTTAAAGCTTCATATAGATTCTCTAGCCAAGTAATCTTTACAGACCCTCTATTTTTATCAGATTCTGTAGGTTCTACCTCTAAGTTCTCCATGTAAACATCGGTTGTTACATCGATTGGACCGTTAACAGCTTTTCCATCTACTTGGAGACCAATTAACATATTAACATCCTCTAATGTTATTGTGAATTCACTGGTTGGTAAATGAAACGTGTGTGTTTTCGGTTTCCATTTCTCTAACAAACCAACAACTAGGCTAAAGTCTACTTTTAAACTCCTTATTTTTGCGACATTCGCAAAATCTACTAGTTCTAAATACGGGATTATTTTCGCACTTGGTTAGATATGAGTATGTGAATGGACTCAAAACCTTACATTCTCTTGAAAAAAAAGAAATAATAGTGAATACAATAATTAAATAAATAATTATGTTGAGTTTTTAGAAACCTTACATTTGCTTCGATGTTTGTTTGTGTTCCAGAGTGTGATTCTCCCATCCACAACAAAGACATTTTGAACGAGTGAGTTAATTTGAATGAGTGAGTATTTTGTAAAAGATGAAGAGTTGTGTGTGATTAATTTTTTTTTGTGGCTTAATACTCTTTTTGGTCATGTATCTTAACCTCAGGGTTCATTTTGGTCTCTTAACTTTAAAAAGGTTCATATTGGTCCCATAACTCTTTAAAATGTTCCATATTAGTCCTATTTGTCTAATTAGCGACGAATTTAGCGACTGATTTTTGAAATTTTTTTTGTCGCTAATAGGACAAAAATGACTAATATGGAACGTTATGAAGAGTTAAGGGACCAATATGGACCTTTTTAAATTTAAGGGACTAAAATGAACCCCGAGGTTAAGATACGGGACCTAAAGCGGTATTAAGTCAAATTTTTTACTAGTGCTGAATTTATAGAGGTGTAGATGAAGAGGGGTAAATATGTTGATAAGACTACACACTAATAGATTAGATATATCAATGCATGCCTTGTGAACATGTTATACTATTTTAGAGTGCATGTAACCCTAGATAATCACTAGTTGGTCCTGCTGCATGCATGCAAACCACTTTTCTTGACTAGTGTGTGCTCACCATTTGAATGGACGAGTGGCTTCTTGTCACGTTTTTGCTCGCCACTTCAATGAATTAGCATACACACATAAGACATGTTTGTCCCTTGAAAGGGCGAGCACATACATGGTTGTTTCCAACATCAACATTTTAGTTTTTAGACGTGTGTGTTCATATATATATATATATATATATATATATATATATATATATATATATATATATATATATATATATATTTGTTCTAATATCATCATTCAACATTCCAGTATTAAGTCATCATATTCTTACATCAAAATAGCTCAGAGAAATACAATAGTAACCAGTCACTATAATGGTACTATTTTCACATATTGTAATGGTGGATTCTTATTTGGCAATACAGATACATACTGTTTTAAAATTCATGTGAATTCTGATTTTTTTTTTCATTTCAAAGATAGGATGAAAAAAAAGTTACAGTGATTTGTTGAGGAGATAACTTATCGTCATTCATTAATTAATGGAGATGATGATACAGTTTTTTACGCAATGACGCTGATTAAAAACGACGAAGACATGAAACCAATGTTTCAGTGTCACATGATGTTTGCTCAATTACCCACAATTGAGTTGCATGTTCATCTACTTGAACATGCCGAAACATATCTGACATTCAACACAATCACGCCAATATGGAATGAGTCAAACTTTTGATGACGAGCCAACACAAAACAATGAACCTCTCATACCCAATGAAGAGGTTGGAGAAGCAACCGAGGATGATCTTGAAGAGGTCAGGATGCAAGATCTTTTTGGTAACAACGATGATGATGTCAGTGAAGATATGTTCGACGCGTCTACTCAGACAATTAGCGTTGAACCAATAAACTTGTACAACCCACCTTTACATATGCAAAATATTTGTTTGGAAAATGATGAACCAATCTATGTATTTGGATGTGTCATACCAAACCATATAGAAGACGAAATAGATATTGGGATGGAGTTTGAAAACAAGGAAGCTTGCATTCTCGCTCTACAACATTGGCATATAACACACAGTGTTGACTATTGGATGAGAAAATCTGATAATGCACAATACGTAATTAAATGTAAGAAAACATACTGCAATTTTAAATGCAGAGCTTCCTTGAGGAAAAAGAACTCAAAATGGAATATTGGTAAGTTGTTTGGGCCTCACACATGCACTACCACGTCTATGGCACATGACCATAGGAAACTCGATTCAGAAATGATTAGCCACAACATCAAAGAGCTTGTCAACCGCAACACTTTGCTTAAGGTGAAGGTGATCATTGCCCATATTGTTGAAAAATATATGTACATAATATCTTATAGGAAAGCATAGATCGCAAAGTGTAAGGCCGTAAAGTCATTGTACGGAAATCAGGAAACATCTTACAGTGACCTACCACTGTGGATATTGGTAATGAAAACCTATCGTCCTGGAAGTATTATTGTGTTGCAAACCCTACCTGCAATTTCAAATGATGGATCCCAAATAGCTGACAAGCGAATATTCCATCGTCTCTTTTGGGAATTTTGACTGTGTCTATGTGGCTTCGCCTACTGTAAGCCTGTTGTGCAAGTTGACGAAACGTAGTTGTATGGAAAGTATATAGGAAATCTGTTGATGGCTATGGCACAGGATGGGAACAGAAACATTTTCTCAATAGCTTTCGCATTAGTCGAAGGTGAAACAAAGGAAACTTGGAGCTTCTTTCTAAGGAACCTGCGGTTACACATGACACCACATGCTAATTTGTGTCTAATCTCAGATAGACATGAATCGATAAAGAGTGCATACAACAATATTGAAAACGGATGGTAATATCCACCATCTTCACATGTATACTGCATTAGACACATTGCGCAAAACTTCATGCGCGAGATTAAAGACAAGGAACTACGCAAAAAACTTGTTAACATGGGTAACAAAATACATTTTAGTTACCACAACTATTTTTTTCATACCTTTACTATGCCTTTCATAACATTTCTATTACATGTTACGCATTGACAGAGGCTACATTAAACTACTACCGTAGGGAAATCCGGAGAATAGACATTAAGGTTTCACGTTGGATAGACAACATACCAAGGGAGAAGTGGGCTAAAGCATATGATGGATGACAAAGTTAGAGACACATGACAACTAACTTTACAGAAGCCATGAACTTTGTACTAAAGGCAACTCGTAGCCTTTCAATCACTACATTGGTCCAATCTACATACTATCGCCTGGGTTCCCTCTTTAGTAAAAGAGGCCACTAGTGGACAAAAATATTGGCTTCCGACAAATTTTTCACGGATGGTTGCAATAAGGGAATGGTTGATGAGGTAGTTAAGGCTAACACACATAATTTCATGCAATTTGATCGCGAAAGTTTCTGTTTCATGGTCCATGAAAAAATTAATCAGAACGATGGTCGTCCTACAGGTACTTTCAGCGCTGACCTAAGGAATCAGTGGTGTGATTGTGGGAAATTTCAAGCATTTCACTCACCTTGCTCCCACGTTATCGCGACATGTTCTAGTATACGTCAGAACTACTCCATTCACATTTCAGACGTCTTCAAAGTTCTTAACGTATTCAAGGTCTACAAGAAAAGCTTTTTGGGACTATCCCACTAGGAGAAATCGCCACAATATGAAGGATTTACTCTTTGTCACGACCAATCCATGAGAAGAAAGAAGAATGGACGTCCAACCAGTACTAGGATTAGAACCGAAATGGACAACGTTGAAAAGGAAAAAAGAAGGTGTGAGATTTGTAGAGAAATAGGTCATATGCGTAAAAGAAATGTCCAAATGTAGCTGACCCGTCTAACCGACCCGTATAGATAATTTTATTTGTTTTTTAAGTTAATCATTTAGTAAAGGTTTTGGTTTTCATTTGATGTCTTTGTGATCCAACATTAATTTATAATTCAAGATAACTCTTAGTAACAACTACAAAACAAAGACTCTGCTCATAAAACAACAAGACAATGAACATTTAAATGATTGACACATCAACATGCCTAGGAAATTACAACCATCAACACAATATCAACTTGTTCATACATCATCATAACACAATCATAATCGTTTTTATAGCTTTTCAAGATTTGGTATCTCCATCTTTAATAAGCCTTTCAATTTTTCTAATCTTTTCACCTTCAGCAATTTCATCTTCTAACCACCTCGCCATACTTCTCTGAAAATGCTCGAATATCACTGTATTCTATAGTCGGATCTTCAACGAGGGTTTTATTGGTGAAAAAATCAGTGGAGCATCTCTTTTGGTAAGAGGAGTGCTTGGATTGGTAAAATACTCCATTCTTGAAAAACTATTTCAAACTTAAATGAAGAAATTGGTGTACTAGAACTGAGATTTAGAGTTTACCACACAAAACTATTTATAGAAAATAGAAAAAATAATAAAATATTCCGCTGCTTGTCCAATGGATGGTTGAACATCATCATGCCATAATTTATGTCTATTAAATAAAACTAAAACTTAAAAAGCTGATATACCAGCTAATCAACAACAACCAACCAACACAAGTGGATCTTGGATTGACTTCTCTATTAATTTCACCACTATGTGCTGAAAACATACATTGAATATCTTCATCATTTTCTATACGATCCAAGTATGACATGTACGTACCCTTCGGACTTGCATTAGTCAATGTTATATATGGACAACGATACTCAACTTTTTTCACCTTCATACGACGAACATCCAACTATCAAAAATCCTTGTTGATTGTTGCAATTATGTTTCTGAAATTCCACTGTGGATCTAGGCAAAAACTAATTTTTTTTCTTGCCCATACAACACAAGAGTCTGGACAAACATTTTTAAAAATACAATTTACTATGTTGAATGATTTGCGTTGATACGCATCAAACTACTTATAATAAAAATATTACATGCGTATATTTGCTCATTCATTGGACGAGAATCTCTAAACACTTAGACATTCATTGACGGAAAATCTCTAAACAGTAATTTCATTTGGCCATTGAATGACAAAACGAATTAAAATAATTAGTATAATTTATTTTATAAATTATTTTAACTATTAAAAAAATCTTAATTTAAAAAAATTAACAAAGTTCTTTTAGAATATTATTAAGTTAATAAAATATATTTTTAATAATTAAAATTATTATTAAAATTATTTAACAAATAAAATAATCTAAAAAAATTAATAAAAAATATTAAAATGTTCGTCATTTCAATGGCCAGTACCTTCGTCTTAAAATTTTCACATCTGCTCGGCCACGAGCACATACTAAATTAAGAAGATCTTGATTTTTTTAATTTTAAATAAAGTAATTTGAGATTTAATTTTCAAATTTGGAGTACTTTAAAAAAAAAAAAAACTCCAAAGTCACGAGCAGGTAGCAAGCCAACAAGTAAAACCGTACCAGTACCACAACAACCTTGTCCTGAACCCTGCCTGTCAGTGTTTTGTACATAACCTCGCCAACCTGTGACGGAATCCTTATCTGTTTACGTGGAATGGTTGTTGTAGGAAAAGTTAAAAACATTAACAAACCGGTTCTGCTCACTCCCCACATGCCACATGGGTTTGAGATGTTTCTCCACTCTTCTCTGTGTTTTTCTCTATGGATTTATTCTACGAGTGTATTCTTATCCATCCCAAGGAACTTTTAACATAAAATCTTTATAAGATTGAGCTGTGAGAAAAATACAAAAGCTAAGAAGTGATTTGGAGAGGAATGGTGTGTGGAATTCACGTTGTAACTGGTCGGACACGGTGATTGAGCATGTGGTTGTTGGACATTGACGTGTGTCCGCCACATCCAACTCATGCGTGCCTCGTGGGACCAAACATATACTAGGTAAAGACCTCACTTGACTAATTGGAGTATCGTTAAGGGAAAGTTTCTTAGAGTGATTCGAGAAACAAAACAGATCACGGTTCTTCAATTCGTATAGAATCACTGTGAGATTATTATTGCATCTTTTGAAATTTAAGATCCATATTGAAATTCTCATCGATGAGAATTTATTTCAGAAATGTCGCAATTTGAAATTAAAAATATCATATTGTCATATATTGAAATTTTTTTTAAAAATACCACATATTCATTATGGCCTTGTTGAAGGACGATCCAATGAAATTTAAAAAGGTAGTTAAGGTGCGGCTATCTATTGTCCGACCCTATATTACGGTTTTTTTTGGTTTTTTTTTATTTCAGAAATAAATATATATTATATATTATTATTTTATGTTTTAAATTGTTTTATATATTAAAATTATTTAAATGATATTTTATATTAATAAATAAATAATTTAATTATTTTAAATAATTTTTTAATATTATTAAATATTTTTCAAATCATCTAATTATATAATTTAATTATTTTTAATATTAAATATTTTTTACATTATATAATTTAATTATTTTAAAATATTTTTTAACTATATAAAATAATAAATTAATTCATAAATAAAGGAAATTTTATTAATATTTATGAGTGAAAAAAATACATAAATATTTTTCATTAATTAAATCATAAATCATAAAAAATTTCTTTATTAATACATCATAAAAATAAATAAATTATAGATATTTTTCATAAATTATAAAAATACATAAATATTTTTCATAAATTAAATAATAAATCATAAAAATTTCTTTTATTAATACATAAATCATAAATATTTTTCACTCCTAAATAATTCCTTTATTAATACATCATAAAAATGATGTTAAATTCATAAAAATTCAAAAAAATTCGTAAATATTTTTCACTCATAAATATTAGTATAAGAGGTAATGGATTCGAAATAAAGAAAATTTTATTAATATCTACGAGTGAAAAATCATGTTAAATACATCATTAAAAAAATACATCATAAAAATGATGTTAAATATATCATATTCTGTTATTTTTTATTTAGTACATCATAAAAATGATGTTAAATACATCATAAATTTTTTATTTAATTAATGAGATTTTTAAGAGTGAAAAAAATACATATAAAAAAATGATGTATTAATATTAATATTAATAAAGAAAATTTTATTAATATTAATAAAGGAAATTTTATTAATATTTGGAGATAAAAATGATATAATTTTTTCACTCATAAATTATAAAAATACATAAATATTTTTCATAAATTAAATCATAAATCATAAAAATTTCCTTTATTAATACATAAATCATAAATATTTTTCACTCATAAATATTTCCTTTATTAATACATCATAAAAATTCATAAAAATGATGTTAAATTCATAAAAATTTATAAATATTTTTCACTCATAAATATATATGAGGTATTGGATTCGAAATAATGGAAATTTTATTAATATTTATGAGTGAAAAATGATATTAAATACATCATAAAAATGATGTTAAATATATCATATTCTGTTATTTTTTATTTAATACATCATAAAAATGATGTTAAATACATCATAAATTTTTTATTTAATTAATGAGATTTTTATGAGTGAAAAAAATACATATAAAAAAATGATGTATTAATATTAATATTAATAAAGGAATTTTTA